GTCCCACACTGAGCCCTGATTCTGGTCCCACACTGAGCCCTAATCCTAGTCCCACACTGAGCCCTGACCCTAGTCCCACACTGAGCCCTGACCCTGGTTACACTCTAACTCTTAAGCTTGATCATTGTGGTGGTTAATGTTATGGACCAGTTTGGCTAGGCTATGAGTCTCAGTGTTTTGGCATATATTGGACTACTTTTTCTTCCATAATGTAATATAATGTAATCACCCTCCATTTTGTGGTCTGATGTGAGCAGCCAATCAATTGAAAGCCAGTCGATGTCTTTGGGGGTGTGGCCTGCATCCAATATACATGGTGGTTGGATTTGGGACTTGCCAGCCTCCACAATTTCATAAGATGTTTTCTTGAAATAAATTTCTCCTTGTGAATATTTATTTATGCTGGTTTTGCTTCTCTAGAAAGCGCAGCCTACGACCGTCACACTCTGAGCCCTGACTTTGGTCACACACTGATGTCTGTCTGGCTCTCGTCCCTTACTGAGCCTGAATCTTGCCTTGATTAAGTGTGGGGGTGAGAGAGCTGAGGAGAAGGAGAATGTGGGCCTCTCATACCCAAGGCCTCACCAGGCAGCGTCAGCCCAGACTGTGGCCTTCCCACCCCACAGGGACAGCTGCAACTCCTCTAGAAGGTGCTTCCTGGGTCTCCCCAGCAAAGTCAGCAGAAACTGGGTAGAGCTGAGTGCCTGGGGACCCGGGCCTTTGAACCAGAAAGTGTAGGGCTGGACCAGGCAGAGGAAATGGGTTAGAGCTAATGAGGATCTGGGTGTGGGCATCTAATCTTGTTAGCGTCTGTCCGGGTGTCACTCAGAGAGGCAGAGCCCAGTCAGACAGGAACTCTGTCATGGTTTTTCCCAGACTCATGGCATCTGATTCCAAGAAAGTCCATCTGCTTCATAGAGCCTTGGCCCCTTCACTCAAGCTCAGGGGAAGCTAAAGGCTAGAAGATCCTGAGGGCCCCCGCACATCACAGACCTCCTGATCCTACCAGTGCTGAGGGAGATCCAGGGGTGAATACCAGATCCCAAATAGAGCTGATCCCGTAGGGGAGCCCAGGGCCATGAAAGGGCCTGGAGTGGCCAGGAGGCTTCTCAAACCAGATAGGATCACACCACAGAGAGGCTGGGGGATAAGACCCCACAAGAAGAAGCAGGAGTCAGGAAGGCTGAGACACAACCTGCCAGGGAAAGACTCTGGAATGTCAATGCCCTGCCCAGGGCATGACCAGGTGTGTTGTTGCAGCCGGCCACAGGATGTTGGGATGGGTCTCAGGCTGGAAATCCCTGGAGAGGCAGTGGGGGTGGGGATCCTGCCTGTAAGCTTGGAGCAACTTCCCTCCATTTCCTCTGCTGCAAAGAGGAGCCAGGTCAGGCCCACCTGAGGGTCTTCCCAAGGTGACTGTAGATGGAAGGGTCCAGGCAGAGAGGTAGGGGCCAGCCCTTCACAGCTCCCCAGGGGAAGTCACCCATCCCTGGCCCCCTTTCCTTCACAGCCTTCTCTGGTGGCCCAGCACCTCCCAGTTGCTTCCAGCTAAACCTCTGAGTAAACATCTCAGCTGGTAGTTCAGACAACAACTGCTTCATCACATGACCTCCTCCAGGGTGTGTGCATGTGAAGGGTCAGGGCCAAGATCTTTAGACCTCCAACCTCCGCTGCCCAGCGAAGGGATTTCCATCTGGGCCAGGGGGACCCCACTCTGCGACCCCAGGATCAACTGGGAGAAGGAGGAGCCAGTCCATCAAAATGTCCTGGATAGAGGACAAAGGAGCTATAGGGTTCAGGGAGGACCCTACAGGGATCCCCAGACGGAAGGAACGTCCAGAGAAGCGGGAGGAGTCAGAAAAGGGGTGGTGGAGGGGTCACGGAGGGAGTGGGAAGGGGCCCAGGCAGGGAAGGAGGTGGTTAGGTGGGGCGGGGCGGGGTCCCTCCCTCCGCCCCCAGAAACCTGATCCCGCTAATCGGCTCGCAGACCGGTTAGGTGGCACTCATTGTCCGCAGCAAGTAACAGGTGAAGGACAGGCACAGAGTGGAGACGTGGAATCTGGAAGATGCTGGGGACTCGGTGGGCGTTGTTGGTCCTGGTGCTAGCGGTCTGCGGGGAGTTCGGTAAGGGCGAATGGCTGGGAAAGTGGGAGCGCCGATCTGGAGGTCACTACTGGTGACCTCAAGAAAGGGGCCTGGGAGTGAGGGAGGTGGAGGTGGTCTGGGAAGGAGACCAGAGAGAAGGAGAGTGGGGAAGGGTCAGAGCAGCCTGGGTGGGTAGGTTCAAGGTCAGGTGTGAGGGTGTGGTGAGGGTCTTGAGACCAGCTGGGGGGTGCTTCGTCCTACTGTAGGGCACATAGAGAAGGGCAGTCAGCCAGAAAGGTCAGGTTCTGGGGGCCACTGGGTGGAGGAAGGTAGATGGGGGCAGTGGGAAGGGGAAGACCAGGGAGGCATTTGTCTGAGGGGACCACGCTGGACAGGAGGGAAGAAATCCAGACAAATCAGATGCTGACTAGTGACCTTGGGGTCTGAAAGGATAATTGGGGGTACCATACCCTTCACCCCTTCTTGGGGCTCCCATGCTCAGCCAGAAAAGAAACTTTGTCTATTGGTTTAAGTCAGATGGCTCTGCCCAATTGCCAGAGTGGGCAGCTGAGGTCAACCCTGGAGTGGGCAAAGCGGCTCACCAGTTACAGGAATGGGGCAGCTGGAGCTTCTGGGATTAGGGGGCTGGAGTTGGAGCAGGGCAGAGCTGGTCTGCCTTGCCCTGCCCTGCCCTGGCCCCTCCCCTTTCCTTTATTCTAGGAGCCCAGCCTGCACCCTGCACCCACATACCATCACCCTGATCCCTTAATCCCCACAGCAGCCCTGGGCCCTGCAATCTGCTGATGAGGAAATCTAGGCTTCCTCCCACTGTGGTACCCGTTACTGCGGAGATGCCTTCCCTCCCCTCCCCACCCCCAGGCCAGCTCTCACCTCAGGTCTCAGGGCCTCAGACTGAGCCCAGTCTGACCCGCTTACATCTCAGCAACTTCACCTTCTTCAAGTTTATACCAGGGGCAACTGGGCACCCCCACTCCGACGGTTTGAGGTATGGGGGAACAGGTCTGCCTGATCTGCTCTCAATGTCATATCCCCAGCAATGGCCCTTCAATGTTACACCTGCCCTGAGCCCACCAGCGTGTCCAGCTGCCTCACCGTGACCACCTGCATAGCCAATGAGACCATGTGCAAGACAACACTATACTCCCTGGAGATCGGTCAGTGTCCGGGAACCCAGAGATGCCCCTTACTGCCCCTGTCACTGTGTGTCAGCACAGTGCAGTGTCTGCGTTCTCAGAGAAGGCTGCTAGGCCGGTCTTCCTCACTCCTGCCTCCTTCTTCCCTTCCTCTCTCCTGCTCTCCCTCCCTCTTTCCCTCCTTCTCTCCCTCTCTCCCTCCTTGGCTTCCTTCCTTGCCCTTCGCTCCTTCCTTTCCTTCTTTCCCCCCTCTGAATCCATCTTTCCTTCTTTCCCCCCTCTGAATCCCTTTCTTCCTTCCTCCTAGACCCTCTTCCCTCCCAGGACATACCTCCGCTGTGGCAGTGGGAAGGCAAGACAGCAGACCCACTTTTCAGGAATCCCCTCTCTGTCCACATTCTGGGCAGGAGTGTGCCCCATGCACTGTGAAGGGTTCCCACAGGGTGCCTCGTGGGCTCTGACACTAGGGGACCCTGAGTGTGTGGGAGGAAGGCCAGCCGGATAGTGCAGGAGGGACTGAGACTTGGGACGAGCCCAGTCCGGATCCTGCCCAGGGAGCTCTGGGCACTGGCTCCCCGACTACTGACACCTCCTTAACCGTAGTGTACCCGTTCCTGGGGGACTCCACGGTGACCAAGTCATGCGCCAGCAAATGCGAGCCTTCAGATGTGGATGGTATCGGCCAGACGCGGCCTGTGTCCTGCTGTAACACCGATCTCTGCAATGTGGACAGTGCCCCAGTCCGGGGAGGCCCCAGGGGCCTGGCCTGCGCCCTGTTGCTGGTCTCCCTTTGGAGCCTCGGACTCTAGGCCCCGCTGAACCCCACCCTGTGCTAGGCCTGTTCTGCCAGCAAGCGCCATAAATGAGTACACCCGGACACTGTCTCGCTTCTCCTTCCGGCCGCTCGGGCAGGGTTGTTGGCCGCAGTGTGTTGTCCACCTCCGCCCCTCCAGCTTGGGTGGTCTCTGTCTTGGCCCGCAGGTTTTTCACTCGAGCTGCTGGCCCCTTCAGTCCTGTCTGGCTCCACTTGGCTAGCTCAGCAGTACGACTGCTGGTGTCCCTGTCTGTCTCTCTTCCTTCCGTTTACAAGCAAGGATGGTGGCTCAGCCTGGGACACCCCCCAAAAGTCCCTCCGGACACACATGTGCCAGGGGAGCCAGCACAGCAGGCAGGGTGGGGTCTGGATGGTTCCCTAGAGGAGGTGACACGTGGACCAGCTTTGAGACCAGGAGAGAGGGCAGGGGCAGCCCTGGGGGAGGAAGGACCTGAGACAACAGCTCTATGTAGCCCCCACCACCTGCCAGGCCCAGGCCGGGAGCAGGGGATCTGGTGTTCTGTAGGCCGCCGCCAGGAAGCGCCCCAGAGGACCTTTTTCAGGCTCACAATGGACCCACCTTGACCAGTCCACTCCTCCAGGTGTCCTGGTCCCCGGGTGGCCACAGCACTTGAGAAGGAGTGACCTCTACATCCCAGGATAGTGTCCCTGGGACTCACCCTGCCCATCAGGTCTGAGTCTGGGTGTATGAGAACACACATGTGCACACGTACAAATATGTTGTTGTTGTTGTTGTTAGGTACCGACTCATAGCAACCCTTTATAGGGTTTCTGAAGAGCAGCTGATGAGTTTGAACTGCTGACCTTGTGGTTCATAGTCCACTGATCCTACAGTGCCACCCCAGGAGTCGGAAATGTCCCCACCCTTGCTGTATAGGTATAGGGTTTCTGAGGAAAAACAGCTGGTGGGTTTGGACTGCCAACTTGGAAGTGAGTAGTCTAGTGTTTAGCCTTCAGAGCCACACCAGACTCACATATATATTATATGTTGTTTTGTTGTTGTTGTTAAGTGCCTTCGAATCACTTCCGACCTATAGTGACCCTGTATAGGGTTCCCAAGGAGCAGCTGGTAAGCTTGAACCACCAACTTTGCAGTTCAAACCAACCTTGCAGTCCAGTGCATTAACCTGCAATGCCACACCAGGGCTCCATATACATGGAGGGGCTTCAAAATGTTCATGGAAAACGGAATGAAAAAGATAATGGGAGATTACTACAAGGTTGGCAACTCCCTTGTATCCATGTGTACATGGATGCACATGGGCCCCATAAACCCAGGCACACATGCACATGTGGGCACATGGGGTGCACGCACATGGGTGTGCATACATACCCACGTAGACACACAAAGAACTCTACAAACACACACACACAGGGAACTGGGAGAAAGGGGTGGGGTCCAGCTTTTCCACCCAGGGGGGAGGAGAGGGGAGGGACAGGAGATGGGCAACAGCCTGTCCAGGGAAGGAGGGACCCACCCCTGCGGGCCCCCAACTTCTGCACCACATCTCCCCCTACCCTGACCCTGGGTGAGTCCACCTCCCACCCTTGAGAGGCACCACAGCTCATGGCACGTCCAGCAGAGCTGGGGGGAGCTGGCCAACCTGCAGTACTAAGGGCATCCGAGTCCCTCAGCCCCCACCATCCCCACAGATGGAAGGAGGCAACAACTGAAATGGGAAGCAGGGTTTGTCCTGGATTCCTGGGACCTAGGAAACAGTAGCCTGGAAGGTCTTTTGACTCTGGGCCCCTGGACTGTACACCACTGGCCAGCTCCTGGTCCCCCGCCCAGCGTCCCATCAGTGTCGAGCAACTTAGGGCAGAGCTAGGGCAATCTGCTGAATGGAAGGCCAGCATTATGTGAGGGCTATCTTGGACAAGATTGCATTAACAACCTGCAATATGCAAGTGATACAACCTTGCTTGCTGAATGTAAAGAGGACTTAAAACATTTACTGATGAAGATCAAAGAGCACA